CTCCCAGAGTGCTAGGATTACAGGCGTGAGCCACCATGCCCGGCCTAATTTTTTAAAATATGTTCCAGTTCCTTGCTGTCCTTTAGCCCCATGAGCCTAATTTTAAGTATAGTCTGGATAATTCTATATAGAGTACCTGCAGGTCATTTTTGTTTTGTTTTTTGGTCTCTGATTTATGTTGCTTCTGGTTGGTGGTTGGTCTGTCTCCTTGTTTCTCCAGATATATACAAGAAATTGGGAATAATTTAAGTGGGAATAAATGTAGGAATAATTTAATAATGTGAGAATAATTTAATAATTTAAAATCATTCGTGGAAATAATTTAAGGTCTGGGATGATATTATTAATATCTTCTTCAAGAAAAGATTTTCATCTGCTTTTGCCAGCTGCCAGGGGGCACCAGCATTATGTGACCACCTTTGTTTTAAGGGGATTCCCGGACAGCTGCAGCCCAGTGCGGAGGGATTTGCTCCTGGTTTGCCTGTCTTCATAGGTGCACCCCAGGGAGGTTCAGGTCCAGGTGCATGGTACTTTCTTTCGTAATAACCCCATCCTTGGTAGAATCTGATCCACCTCTGCCCCTAGTCCTGGGAGGCCATCAAAACTGCCACCTCTAGATCCAAACAAAAATGCCACCTACACAAAAACAGCCACAAATGCTGACTTGTTTTCTCTCAGATTCTGGCTTTTGAACACTTGGTGGTCCTCAGTGGGAGGTTTGTTCTGCTTTACCTGGTCAGTCTGTTAGCAGGAGAGAAATGCCTTGTGTCTACAGCGTCCTGCTCAATTTCACTGCTGGCCTCTTCAGCCTCCTCAGCTGGTCCCCACCCACTCCTGGCCCCTGGACACTGCAGGGGTCCTGCCTGGGCTTCTGCTACACTCACCCCTTAATGATCTCAATCACATGACTTCGCACACTGGCCCTGTGCTATGGCTCCACCTGCATCCCTGTGTAGCTGAACTCCAGACTCCAGCCCAGACATGCAGGAAAAGAGAAAAACAGATTTCTTAATATGCACATCAGGCGTATGCACAGAGTACTCAAGTAAGGAGCGTCTTAAGTGGGCGGTTCAAATGTGGGTGTCCAGATACTAAATTAGTACAGGAAAGGGAGTGAGGAGACACGGGCACTGATAGACAATAAGGTGACTTTCTTTGAAAGACAAATGGGCCCCTAGAAGAGACAGAGATCTGATAGTCTGGAGACAATGTCTTTCTGGGTGTGGTGCCAAGATAAGAATTGCATTTGGGAGGGGACTCATGACAATGGAGTTCTTTAGGGAGGCTCTGCTTTTAGTCAGAGAAGGGATTTCTGAAACTCAAATGCCTTTCCCTCTGAATAATTTGTATGTCATGCCGGCATGCTTTGGCGTGCCACATCCTGGCCCCTCACTAGCCTCCGGCCAGTCTCCCTGCATCTTCCTCCTTAACCTTCTCATAAAATGGAGCACTAGCCCAGGATCTGCGAGGGTCTTGCAGATGACACACACACAGCATCTATTGAGTGCGTGGCAAAGGGTGCACGTTGATGCCGACCCCCCCTTGAGCGATGCTGGTCCCAGTGCAGCATCAAGGCAGCTCCACAGCCTCCTTCAGCCTGCCCAGTGGGCCACACCCCTCCTGTCCAGGATGAAAAGTGACAAAAATCCCATTATTTTTCTGATAACTCTTAGATAATGAAATGTCCTGAGGTCACTTGAAGTTAGAAAATAAAGTCTCCATTCAATCCAACATTAATCAACTCTTCAGTTGTTAATCAGAGGCAAACATTCCCCACTGCCCAGTTAGGACCACCTTTTCGTATATTTCCTGCCTGCAGGTGTTGCACGCTTCTCTTTCTTCATAATATCTGATGTGTTTCTAATTTTTAACAGCTTTACTGAGGTATAAGTGAGGTACATTATATAATCCACATATATTTTAAATGTACAATTTGATACATTTTAACATGTATACTCTCATGAAACCATCACTTCCATCATCCTACATAATTTTTAAAATGGCAGCCTGGTGGCATATGCCTGTATGTCCCAGCTACTTAGGAGCCTGAGGGCAGGAGGATCGCTTAAGCTGGAGTTTGAGGTTGTAGTGAGCTATGATGACACCACATACTCTAGCCTGGGGTGACAGACTGACACCTGGTCTCAAAAATAAAGAAGGTGTGTGTAGAGTTTCCTGGCACAATTGCTTTTCACTTTGTCCCTCTTAGGGTTTTGGAGCCAGTCACTAATAGCCTGGGGGGAGAGGCAACCAGAGGATGCAAAGCTCAGATATGAGCCAATCCTACTTGTGTACAAAAGCACTTGAAAATACCTAATTTAAATTAGACTCTGTGTTTAGGAATGAGTCCTAATGACAAAAAATGAAGAGAGATTTCTCTGAATGTTAAATCCAAGACCTCTTCCCTAAGCTTCAGACATTTTTACAGCTGCGTCCTCGGTTTTCTCAACTGTGTGTCTGCAGTCATCTCAAACTTTAACTGGCTGAAGCACGGTGTATTACCCACCACCCTGACCCTTCGGCAACTTGCTCATAAAAAGGTATAAGAGCACTGACTTCACTGCTCACTCACACTCCCCTAACCTAGCTTGGAGAGATCCTCAGTCAGCAGCTCTTACTGAGCTGTGAGTGACATACCATAAACTGTGTATGTTAAAGTAAGTCTTGGCATGTATACACTGTGAACCATCACCACAGTCAAGATACTGGCTATGTCCACCCCCCCCATCTGCCTTCTGTCACTACAGATTAGTTTGAATTTCCTAGGGTTTTATGTAAATGAAATCATATGCCATGACTCCAAAGGTGTGGCCCCATCCATTGAACATATTGAGCATAATCATTTTGAAATTCACCCTTGTGTTCATAAATGGTGGAGTCTTTTTATTCCTGAGTAGCATCTGGGAGTCATTCTTGCCCTCCTATACTACAGCCTTCACTCAGTCACCCCAGACGTGCCAGCTCCAACGTAGAAGACAAGCTCAATCAATTTCCACATCTTTCCCCTGAGCTACCTGGCCCGTATTACAGTCACAGCCTAGTCCCAGGTCATCCTCCCATCAACCTTGTCTCTAGCCAAGCGGGTCTTCCTTCTGTGCCTTGAATGAGCCAAATGTGTTCCTGCTCTCCTGAACAAGTCCATGAAATGGCCCTCATTAGTAATGCTTGTTGCCTTCTTGTCAACCTTGCCTCATGTAAGTAACACCAGCATGTGTGTGTGTGTACCTTTAGATTTAAGGTGACTTTGTTTTAAGAAGCATATGTCTTTTTAATCCAGTTTGATAATCTTTGTCTTAGATGAAAGCAATGATTCCAAAATTTGCTGCACTTAGAATATTCTAGGAGCCTTTAAAATACTAGTGCCCTGGTCATACCTCATACAAATAAAATCAGACTGTGAGATGGAATCCTGATGCATTGGTGTTTTTGTTTTTGAGATCCCCAGGTAATTGCCAACATAGGGCAAAATTTGGCAGCTGGAGCATTGAGTACATTTATGCAAAGTAATTAGTGATATTTTTACATCTAAATAGATACATTTTCATACTTTGCATTTTTCTTGTGTGTTTTATGTTCTTTTTATATGCTTTTCTTGCTGTCTCTTGGATTACCGATGGTTAGAAATTAGTTTGGTATATAGCCCTCTGTTTTTTTGAACTTTTAGTGGTACCCTTGAGATTACAGCATGCGTTCTTAGTATTTTTCTTCTCAGACAATACCAAAATACTTTATTGGATATTTAATTATTTCCACATTAAAACTCCATAAAGCACATTATTGTTGATTGATAAACCTGATTTTCATTTAGTTTGTCGGCATATATACCACTATCATTGCTTTTTATCCTTCCCTGCCTAGAATAATTCCCTTCTCCCTGAAGTACCTCCTTTAGAGGTGGTCTGTTGGTGATGAATTAGCTCCATTTTATCTGTCTGAAATATCTTTATTTAATTTTCATTTTTGAAAGATTTTTTTCTGAGTATGGGATTCTAGGTTGGCAGCTAGTTCCTTTCAGCATGTTAATGCTATAACTCCACTGTCTTACATATCCGTGTTTGCTGTTGAGAAGTCAGCTGTCTGTGATTTTTTTAAGTCAATCTTTATTTACCTCTGACTGCTTTGAAGATTTTCTCTTTGTCTACAATTTTTTTGCAGTTTACTATAGTTTGGATGTATATTTTATTTTATCTTATTTGGATTTATTGGACTTACAGAATCTCTGGATAGGTATATGTCTTCAATTTTGGAAAATTATTGCTATTATTTTTTCATATACTGCTTTTGGCCAAATGTCTCTCTTCTCTCCATACTCTGTCTCTACTAGAGCTCTGAGTGAATGGTTGTGAGATCATTTTATTATGTACATGTATTTTAATCTCTTATATATGTTTTATCTTTTTGTTCCTTCATGATTCATTCTGATTTATTCTGATCGGTCCTGCAGTTTATTAAGTTGCTCTTTGGCTTTGTCAGAACTGCTGATATACATTGAGTTCTTTCGTTTTTAAGAGATGAATCTCCACTGTCCCCCGAGCTGGAGTCCAGAGTGTGATCATAGCTCTCTGCAGCCCTGTACTCCTGGGCTCAAGTGATCCTCCCACCTCAGCCTCCCAAGTAGCTGGGACTTGGGTTCCAGATACCACCTGGCTAATTTTTTAAATGTTTTGTGTATAGGTGGGTCTCACTGAGTTCTTAATTTTGGTTTTGGATTTTTCAATTCTTGAATTTTTAGTTAGTCTTCTTCAAGTCAGCAAATTAATTTTTTTTTTTTTTTTTGAGACAGAGTCTCACTCTGTTGCCTGGGCTACAGTGCCATGGCATCAGCCTAGCTCACGGCAACCTCAAACTCCTGGGCTCAAGTCATCCTTCTGCCTCAGCCTCCCAAGTAGCTGGGACTACAGGCATGCGCCACCATGCCTGCTAATTTTTTCTATATCTATTTTAGTTTGGGGGTGTGGGGTGCAGGGCGCTGCGGGCCGGGAAGGTCCGGGGGTGTGGGGTGCAGGGCGCTGCGGGCAGAGGGGGCCTAGGCCCAGGCCGCCGCGTCCCGTCTCGGGAGGTGGAAGCCGCCCTCCTGCTCGAGACTGTGGCACAGAGGGAGAAGGAACCCGAATCAACCAGGGACCTTCGTGTGCCAGGCGCTTAATACACGTGGACATGAGTTTACCTGCGTTCATTTAATTCCGGGAAAAACTTGGGAGCTCCATCCCGTGGTATTTCAGAAGGGCCTTTGACAGCGTCCCTTCACAAACCGCCTTTGTAGTGGGAAAGGCCTGGGACCCCAAGTTCCAACAGCAGCCTCACCTGAGGAAGACAGAGCCAGACGTCAGTAATGCTCCTTTCGTCTGATGTCGTACGTTAAAACTGACAGTTTCAAACGTGTTGGTCCTGTATTTCTGTCTTTGCCCAGGCGAACTTGCACAGCACTCTAACTCGGTAACACGCAGCAGAGCAGCGGAGACGGGTTAGAGGCTTGGCCGGCAAGCATGACATTCGCACAAGTAAGCCTGGGGGTCCAACATGGTCTTGGCATCCTGAGTAAAATTAATTCAAAGCAGTAAATAACGATTGCCAACTACTTGCGAGTTGTTGTCGGGGAGTACAAAAGTAAGTGGAACAATCTACCCACCAAAACCTTGGAAACTGGTGGGGCAAGAAAGACACAGAACCTGTCAAAATGTTATAATAGGCTTTAAAAGTCCCCAGAGAACTTTGAGATGAACAACATTAATTATAAAAATAGAAAAGGTGCTCTTTTAACTCTGTCTTAGACAGACGGTTGCATTTATTTATTTATTTGAGACAGAGTCTCACTTTGTTGCCCAGGCTAAAGTGAGTGCCAGGCTAGCTCACAGCAACTTCAAACTCCTGACCTGGAGCAATCCACCCGCCTCAGCCTCCCAGAGTGCTAGGATTACAGGCGTGAGCCTCCACGCCCGCCTGGCCAAATGGTTGGATTTAAGTAGAGACTGTTACAAAGGGCTTTCCAGGTGGAGTCAAGAAGGGAAAAAAATTAAGAATCTTTTATGTGTCAGGTCCATGTTTGTGTGCGTTTACATGGATTGATCCAATTCCCAAGGGGAAAGCAAATAAGCTATTTAAAAAGAAACAAAATCCAAAGATCAGAGAGCCTGGGGGAGAAAATCCAAGAGAAGTTATTTAACTTCCAGGTAACTCACTTCCTAGCTAGCAAATGGGATTTAGTAATTATTATTTCATTAACATCTGCTTTTGAGTGCCCCTTAACATTTTAGAAATTTACATAAAATGCCTGTAATCCTTAAAACAGTCATTTGAAGTACCATTTTATAGATGAAGGTAAGGAGGTTCAGAGGGGTTAAGTCATTTGCTGAAGACCACATAGCTTGGAAGCAGATCTGATATTCAAAACCAAATCTGCTTATCTCTTAATCCCATGCTACTTTTAGTTGCATCAAAGCAGGAATCTACATAATAAGTTTAGACAAAATCTGACTTTCCACATGCATTGAAGTAGGTTATAAGGCTGAAAAAATAGATTGGAAGCAAACCATAAAAACGTTTGGACATATAAATCAATTTGGATTATATGTGTATATTAATTGATATCCTATTTTATTCTCAAAAGGATTTGAAGCGATTTACAAAAATATATGTATATCAGGATAAAAATAAATAGAGGAAATTAGGATGAAGGAATAAAGAGTGGAAAATCAAAGACAGGGAGTAAGTACCTAAACTAATTCAATGAAGTCCTATATAGTTATAAAATGAGAATTAAGAATTGGACTCCAAATCTCTTAGCCTAGAGAAAAGGGGAAGATATAATTAGTTATGAGATCCACACTTATCCATACAATCAAACAAACCGGAGGTTTGGGTGATGAAGTTACTGTTTTGTATAGTTACTAAAGTTAATACGGTAAAGTTGCTATAATAGAGACAGCATTAACTTTAGCCATATCCTTACCATAGTTCGAGTATTTTTAATAACGTTCCTTAACAAATGATAAATGTCTAATACCAAAGCACAATTAAGTAAAAGCAAGGACCCAAACAATATAAAGTAGGCAATTTTCTCATGATCTGGCTGAAAACACAGATAAAATTTCACCTAAAGTAGGTGTTTCAAGAACCTTTGAGATACTTGATAGGGCTAGAATAGTTTCCAAAAAAAATTGACATGGGAATCCCCTCCCCTTATCCATTTCCAATCTACAACCCTCCACCAGCAGCACTTGGTTTTGCCTTTGGGCATTGCCCATCCTCCACCCTCAGGCACTAAATCTGGTCCCATCTGATTATATCCTATCTGACAGTGATTGCTCCAGTTTAGAAACAAAGAGAAAAGATGCAGGTCACAGCTATAATCTCAGTGCTTTGGAATGCCAGTGTGGGAGGATCACTTAAGCCCAGGAGTTTGAGACCAGCCTGGGTAACATAGACCCCATCTCTACTATAATTTTTTAAAATTGGCCAGCCCTGGTGGCATATGCCTGTAGTCCCAGCTACTCAGGAGCCTGAGGCAGGAGGATCGCTTAAGCTTGGAGTTTGAGGTTGTAGTGAGCTATGATGACACCACTGCACTCTAGCCTGGGTGACAGACTGACACCCTGTCTCAAAAATAAAGAAGGGTGTGTGTAGAGTTTCCTGGCACAATTGCTTTTCACTTTGTCCCTCTTAGGGTTTTGGAGCCAGTCACTAATAGCCTGGGAGGAGAGGCAACCAGAGGATGCAAAGCTCAGATATGAGCCAATCCTACTTGTGTACAAAAGCACTTGAAAATACCTAATTTAAATTAGGGACTCTGTGTTTAGGAATGAGTCCTAACTGACAAAAAAATGAAGAGAGATTTCTCTGAATGTTAATCCAAGACCTCTTCCCTAAGCTTCAGACATTTTTACAGCTGCGTCCTCGGTTTTCTCAACTGTGTGTCTGGCAGTCATCTCAAACTTAACTGGCTGAAGCAGGTGTATTACCCACCACCCTGACCCTTCGGCAACTTGCTCATAAAAGAGGTATAAGAGCCACTGACTTCACTGCTCACTCACCACTCCCCTAACCTAGCTAGGAGAGATCCTCAGTCAGCAGCTCTACTGAGCTGTGAGTGACATACCATAAACTGTGTATGTTTAAAGTAAGTCTTGGCATGTATACACTGTGAAACCATCACCACAGTCAAGATACTGGCTATGTCCACCCCCCCATCTGCCTTCTGTCACTACAGATTAGTTTGAATTTCCTAGGGTTTTATGTAAATGAAATCATATGCCATGACTCCAAAGGGTGTGGCCCCATCCATTGAACATATTGAGCATAATCATTTTGAAATGCACCCTTGTGTTCATAAATGGTGGAGTCCTTTTTATTCCTGAGTAGCATCTGGGAGTCATTCTTGCCCTCCTATACTACAGCCTTCACTCAGTCACCCCAGAGTGCCAGCTCTGACGTAGAAGACAAGCTCAATCGATTTCCACGTCTTTCCCCCCTGAGCCACCTGGCCCATATTACAGTCACAGCCTAGTCCCAGGTCATCCTCCCATCAACCTTGTCTCTAGCCAAGCGGGTCTTCCTTCTGTGCCTTGAATGAGCCAAATGTGTTCCTGCTCTCCTGAACAAGTCCATGAAATGGCCCTCATTAGTAATGCTTGTTGCCTTCTTGTCAACCTTGCCTCATGTAAGTAACACCAGCATGTGTGTGTGTGTGTACCTTTAGATTTAAGGTGACTTTGTTTTAAGAAGCATATGTCTTTTTAATCCAGTTTGATAATCTTTGTCTTAGATGAAAGCAATGATTCCCAAAATTTGCTGCACGTTAGAATATTCTAGGGAGCCTTTAAAAATTCTAGTGCCCTGGTCATACCTCATACAAATAAAATCAGACTGTGAGATGGAATCCTGATGCATTGGTGTTTGTTTTTGAGATCCCAGGTAATTGCCAACATAGGGCAAAATTTGGCAGCTGGAGCATTGAGTACATTTATGCAAATAATTAGTGATTTTTTACATCTAAAGATACATTTTCATACTTTGCATTTTTCTTGTGTGTTTTATGTTCTTTTTATATGCTTTTCTTGCTGTCTCTTGGATTACCGATGGTTAGAAATTAGTTTGGATATAGCCTCTGTTTTTTGAACTTTTAGTGGTACCCTTGAGATTACAGCATGCGTTCTTAGTATTTTTTCTTCTCAGACAATACCAAAATACTTTATTGGATATTTAATTATTCCACACTTAAAACTCCATAAAGCACATTATTGTTGATTGATAACTGATTTTATTTAGTTTGTCCGCATATATACCACTATCATTGCTTTTATCCTTCCCTGACCTAGAATAATTTCCCTTCTCCCTGAAGTACCTCCTTTAGAGGTGGTCTGTTGGTGATGAATTAGCTCCATTTTATCTGTCTGAAATATCTTTATTTAATTTCAGTTTTGAAAGATTTTTTTCTGAAAGGATTTCTGTAGGGGTCTAGTGTGGGGTCCATGTTGAACGTTATAAGCGGGATGTCGGAACTAGAACGTTACTTGCTGGGAGTAGTTGTGGCCCTTAACGCAGATTTTGTGGACGTTTCAGAGGTGTAACATGTCCCTGTTGCTGTATGGACTTTGGTGATGAGAATGCTTTGCGTAGGGCGTAAGGCTGTATTCATCTGTTCAGCATTTGTGAAAAGCTAGGTATGATAGGCTGTCACTGTGTGTAGTCTGGCTAGTAGATACACTAGCTTCCAGATATGGTATGCTTTGGAGAAGTTAGAACTTCTCTGGTTTTTTTAATGGTCGTTGGTGTCTTATTGCTTAATGCTTGAAGAAAGTGTCTCTTTGGTCTCTACTAAATTGTTTGTCCAGCTATGCTTTGGTTCTTTGGCTTATTTTGTTCAGTGTATTTAGTCTATAGTTTGGATGTATATTGTTGACTTATTTTATTTGTCTTGTATTGATCGATGGACTCTTGTATTGCGAACTTACAAGACACTCTTGGTGATAGTATATGTCTTCAATTGGAGAAACTTATGGTATTGTTTTTTGTTGAGTATACTTTGCGGTGTGCTTTCGTGCTTTTGGCAAATGTCTCTCTTCTCTCCGATACTCGGTGTAGGTCTTGCTATGGAGCTCTGAGTGGAGGATGTCTTTGAGTATATACGAGAAATGGCATTTATATAACCGGCCTGTACAATGCCTTGACAGGTTTGGGGAATCTAACTCTCTTCCGCTAGTTATGTCTTTTATTCTTCTTTGTCCTCAGAAGTTGGATTGCCTTGGTTTAGTCTTGAGGTTTTCCAGGTCCTGCGCAGTCTTATGTGAAGTATGCGCTTTTGGCTT